ATCTTGATCCTGGTCCTGGAAACTCTTTCCCCTCTTTTAATGAGGTACTGTATGTGGGGAGACCTTTATTACCCTATGTTTTAAATGTTGAGTCAATCTTATAGGCAAAAACTCTGAGCTGTATGCGACCCACCTAAAGAGTCCAGCCCCCTGTTTTAATTGACACTTTTTAAGTAATCCATTCCATGTCTTCACCGAGCTTATTATCCAAGGGTTACCTAGGTCTCCCAAACAACTTAACATTGAGGGGTCTCCTATCAGTGCCCTAACAGGAAAGTTACCTCCCAAGGAATACTCGATTTCCTTCCATCTTGATACAATACCCAGGCTTACACCAGCCCACCAGTGGCTTTATTTGGGTTGCCCTATAATAGTCATGTAAGCAAGGAAGGCCTAGTCCTCCTATATCTTTGGGAAGCTGAAGTGATTTAACCTAAAATCTCGGCTTTTTACCCGCTCATATACATCTGGAAAAGATTTTATCCCACTCTCCAAAGCATTGATCCGGGCTTTCTATAAGAACAGACTGGAATAAGTGTAACATCTTTGGGAGCGGATTTTTTTTTTTTTTTTGTTGGGTGGGGGGGCTCTAATGACTATTGACAGCTTGTGTTTTTGCACATACATGTTGTACATAAACTCCGTAAATGATTTGGTAGGGTTTGATAAGTAAGCCAAAACTCATTTGCAAACAATGCCAATTTCTGCTCACTTCCAGCTTTATTATTCCTTTTATTGTGTCATTCTGCATAGTCCATTGAGTCAATGGCTCTATAAAAATAGTGAATAAAAGTGGACTCAGTGTGCATCCTTGTCTTGTTGACCTGAAGGATCTGAAAGTTCACCATTGATCTTCAATTTTGCGGTTGGTCTGTTATATATAAAGCCTTCATTATTGCAATAGTCGATCCACTAAACCCAAATTTGAGCATTGCTCTGAATAGAAATTCTCATCTCACTGAGTCAAAAGCGATTACAGCATCTAGACTCAGTAATATGGCTGGCATTTTATTTAAATTGATGTGTCTAATAATTTGCAAAGTTCTCGTAACACTATTGTGGTTTTGGCGCTACCTAACAAAACCAGTTTTATCCAAATTTACTATTGTTAGCATGATCCTTTCAAGTCTCTGTGCTATGATTGATGCAAACAATTTATAATCTACATTTTATACACTTACTGGTCAATAATTGGGGCACTCTAATTTGTCTTTACAATCTTTAGGTATAATAGAAATTATAGCTTGTTTCCATGAGAGGGGAACTTCTCGCTTTGTAAAGACCCAATGAAATGCGGGGTAGCACCAGTGTCAGATTGTCCCTCAGTTTCTTATACCACTCTGCAGTAAAGCCATCTGTACCTGGAGCCTTTTTTGCCTTGATTTAACAATCACCAAGTGAAGTTCTTCCTTTGTAATTTGCTCCACTAACGATT